AAAGAAAGTTCCCCGTCCCATTCCGTCCGTCTGTCTGTTCGGCGCCCGCCTTTTCTTGCTTCTTCCCACCAGGTGGCTGGGCACCTGCTGGACTAGCCCAGGAGCCCCACTCGCTCTTTCCTCCGTTGCATATTAGCAGGCGCGTAGTGGCCTTCTGGCATAGTGGCAGATTCAGGCCATGACGCTTCTGCTGCCATGTTTCGAGTAAAGGAAGTGTTTTTGTGTTTGTTTTTTTAGAATGTCACAAATAGGGCGGACCTTTCTTCTCTCCTGCTTTCCTCCTGCTTCGACCTTTTTTCCTCCCCTTAATGTCCCCCTTCCCCAACTGGACATCTTCCTAGATGATTTGGGATTGCAGCTCCCGGAATTTCGAGTAGCGCAATCGTGCAGGCACTGGGAGTTACTGTTCTAGCACATCTGGAGGATCAAAAGTTGGGGAAGGCTACTTCACAAGTGCATTCGCCACCACGTATCTGATGAAGTGAGCTGTCGTTAATAAATCATTACAGCTTTTATGTGGCTGAAGGCATAGTAAGTTTTAAAAATTTTTTAGCTAACAATGGAAAATTAACTAAGAATTGTGTGCAATAGAACTTGTCCTGAGCATAACATATTATCCTAAATATCCTCACCTTATAAAATTTTGTGAAGAAAATATTTCTTTTTTGTTTCCACAGACCCTTTAATTTCTTCCCTCAGTTCCCATGAAGATACTTTGAAACAAATGATAAAATTTCTTTTTTATTCCTTTTGTCCTGTAGCAGGATGATATCACCAGTAGTAATTATCAGTAGATATCTTTTTCTGTTGTTGACACATACTCAAATCTGAGCAGTTGGCAAGTTAATAGATGCAATCCACCTCAAGGATCAGCTTAAAGATCACAGCTTCCACACACACTCATTTGTAGAAAGAAGTTGGAAGGAATACCAGTTGGAGCAAACAAAGACATAATTGGGGGAGAACATAGCAAGAGTACATAGTAAAATTCAGAGAACAAACGAGTAAAAGCTAGAACATTGACAATGGACATTTAGTGGCAACATTCCATCTGTAAATATAATATTGAGGGGAATAGGAATTACAGAATGTATAGCAGTATCATACTTCAGCTTTGGAAAGCTGGCACAGGTAAATATTCCAAATTACTTAGTGATTTCTGCTGTATTCCAGCTTGTCATAGCTACTTCTGATATACTTATAACTTTATTCTACTTATATAATGCTGAATCAATACAGACTCATGGAATTTTATAAGACTATCAACAAAAACACCCATAACAGAAAAGTTGTTTCATTTTTTTAAAATTTATTATTAAATTTATCTGCCGCCCATCTCCCCTAGAGGGTGACTCTGGGCGGCTTACAATTAAAAGTTCACAGAAAAATCTACCACATTAGGCAAACTATACATCAATGCCACACGTTCCCCACTACTGGTGACCGGAGAACCTCTATTTCTCATCTCAATGCTCAAGAAGGGTCTGCGGTGAGAGAGCAAATGATGTTTCAACCTCCATCTAGTTTGCAAATCAGTAATATAAATAAATTGAAACAACCAATACATAATCAAAAGGATAAAATATAGTGATAATGAAAAATAAGTACAAAAAATCCTAACAAAACTAAATAAATTAATATCAACAATTAATATCAGTAATTCAAAGTAATATAAATTAAATATGAAAATAAACTTTGGCAAAATTCCATCTTTGGTAGTTTTCCAAAGGTTAGAAGGGATGAAAAGCTTTAATTCTAAGGGGAGGGTATTTCACAAGACTGCAGCAGCAACTAAGAAACAGGGACTCCTGGTCTCCATTCCTTTTTCTTCACAAAGTAAATAATACAGGATTTCTCCACTTCTGCATGCTCGAATGGCTCCTTATATTCCATATAGCCTTTGATGGCTTTTCTCAAGCAATTAAATGGGGAAGTCATCAATACTGGGTTCTTATCTTCCCAAGTTGAAACTTAAATCCCAGTACTACTTTTCTTATTTCCAGTTTATATATTAGGAATGTTGTACTGAAAAGAATGTCCTCAAAAAAGTGTTATATACATTTCCACAATAGAAAAGACTTTATGCCATAACGTGTCTTAGAATAATTTTGTCCAATATAAAGTTAAACTATCAGAAGGCTTATTGATGACATGTTAGTATTATGAAATGATATATTCTAGCACCATGCCTACACTTCTCATCGGAACATGCTCTCCCCATTTCTTGTTCTTCCCCTGTCAAAAAAGCAGTTGCATTCTGGAACTGACAGTGTGTATGAACCCTCACATTACAAAGTTTTCTGTATATGTTTCTTCACTGGAAACTGCAGAACCTAGGAAAGAGAGCCTCCTGGATTTCTTCCCTTTTATTTTTGTGAATGTATTGTTATAGGTTTTACTTGTATATTTATTTATTGTTTTAACGTGTTGTGAGCCGCCCAGAGTCCCCCATTGGGGGGAGATGGGCGGGGGACAAATTTAATAAATAAATAAATAAATATGAAAGAGAACAAGAATATGTTTTCAGCACTAAAAGATTTTTAAAAATTCTCTGGCTGAGGCCTTATTTTAAAACCATTAGGTAATGATTATAGAGTAGGTGGTACACTAAAAGAATATCAGTTTCACTTCTGCAGAGCTCAGGAACATATATTGAAAAAGGTTGATAGGATCTTTTCCTGTCAACCCTGTGGAAGAGTAGATTAGGAGAGCTGAAGTTCTGTCTTGATTCAGACTGCAGAAAATACATGCATTGAAATAATCCTGTCCAAGTGACATATGGAATTCTTTGAATTGCTGCTACAGTAATATAATTGGGTGGAATATGAATAAATAACATACTCATTTTACTGAATCCACGCACAATAGCTTTGGCTGTGTTAAGAACGCTGCCTTTGGCATTACTCATGCTGAGTAACGTTGGCTAATTTTTTGGTGATGATTCTCATGCCCATGTTTTTTCAACAAAAGGGGTTGCTGATAACCTCACTGATAATCACTGCATGCCTGCTTGTGCTTAGTAATGTATGGGTTGCATTTGTTGAACTATTGTGGGAGTGGTATTAAACCTTATATTATCCATCCTAAACATAAAAGAATTACTAGAGAATAAATCTTAGTATCTGATGTCTCTTTTGTTTGAGTATAGCATCTTGATGAATTATGAGCACATTGAAATGACATTCCATGATATGGAACATATGCCAGATGCATTCAAAGGGACCAAGAAAGGCAGTGTCTTCATGACTCCGTATCGAGTAAGTCAGCAATGTGTATTTACATGCACGTTCGGAAAGAGAAAAACATCCTAAAACCAGTGATAGTTCTCTCTGAAAAATTTAGGCCTTCTGTATTCTGGTTTAACTATATTAAATATCATATATAGAACCCATATCAATATAGTCTCTTCTGTTAGAAACTGGGTAATTGCATTTAATCTTTGTATTAATGTGGCTGACATTTAGAATTTGTATGCATAGTAAGTCCAAGAGCCAAATGAAAAGAAACATACAATGAGCTTAACTGTAAAACAGGAGCAGCAAAGGTGGTATTTGTAAGGCTGGCTTTGTCCTTTCTTGTCATTTTCTGTCCCTGTTTGCCCATGATTTCAGGTTCGTATCTTTCAGGCCACATGAAGCAATGTCTGAGGGCTTACAAGAAAGATTTGGGCTTGTAACTGATGGCATGATTTTTGCAGTGTCTTTTTTCCCTGAAGCTTTATGATGAGTTGAGTTTTCATTTCCACTGGCCAGTTCAAGTATTCTCAGTTGTATCAAGCAGTACTAGAATTATGTTGGTGGAGCTGGGGTTAATATAAGGAGGTGATGGAATGGGTGAATTGCTTCTGTAACTTGAAAGTACATGGGCAGGTGGGTATTTCAAGCACTATGCATATTTGATTAATACATCAATTAAGCTTCTTGGGAATTTTGAAGCTATCTAGAAATAGGTCTGTTAATATTGCTGCTTCATAATATAAGTTCAGTAAAAAGCTTGTTGCTATTTTTCCTAAGGCTTTGGAAGAATTAACTGAAGCATTGGTTTTAGAATGTCATTCGAGATTTTCCAGTTATAGTGTGTAGCAATGAACTCTAGTATTTTTTTTTTCTGATTCTAAGCCTTAAAGATCTGTATTAATTTTGCCTGTAGGTTATTTTTGTATCTAAGGGAAAAGATCCAATGCAGTCTTTCATGATGCCCTTTTATTTAATGAAAGAATGTGAAATTAAGCAACCGGTATTTGGAGCAAATTACATCAAGGGTATAGTAAAAGCAGAGGCAGGAGGTAAGTTCCATTGTGTTTTTAGCATTCAGTTTATGTTTTTACAAAAATCAATTTATAAACCATTGTCATTGTACTGCTAGATCATCTTTACAAAGAACTATGAATTCATCCAAGTTTACTTACCAAAAAAAATTAACAAATGAGTTGTGGGTACTGTAATTACTTTGTGCTAGTGCAATGCTTAGAATCATTGTGGTTTGTAATAACAAATATGGGTGACATATTCTGAGGGTGAATATTTTTCTTGCTGCTTCATTTATAATGAAAGACCAAATAAGCATGTTTGTCTTAACAGTTATGATTAAACCAGAGCTTCCATGCTAAAGATGTGAAAGGTCTTTCCTAGTACTTGAAATGATGAGAGGGGTACCCCCAAGACCAGCAGTATTGTTCCCATTCAATTCTCCCTCTCCTGTTCTCATCTTGCTATATACAATACGGTGCAAAAGTTTTAGGCAGGTGTGAAAAAATGCTGTAAAGTAAGAATGCTTTCAAAAATATATATTGTAATTGTTTAT